TTATTTGTTTTATTTAAATACGGTATTTTAATTAGTAATTTTTTGTAAAATTTTTATATGTAAAAAAATTTATTTTTTCCATATTACACGGACGTATTTCATTTAAATAATGTGCGTTATACTCTACTTTTGAATACGTTTTAATTTGATTTAAAAACGTTTTTTATTTGATTTTACTATTTATTTCCCTCAGTGTACTAAAAATTTCAGTATCAGAATCATTAAAAAAATTTCGTTAAAGCTTCGCCAAAGTAAAATCATCAAAAAAATTATCTCACTTATGAGATATATTATACACTAATAATATATTTCCTTATTTGTTTTTTAATTAAAACTGTTTTAATTCGTTCCGCTTGAATTGCAAATTGAAGATGTCAATGCTGATACTGAGGTTTTCATATGTCCTATGTGCAGCGTTGCCAGAAGAGGTAACTTTTCCCGTTTTCCGGGAATTTTGAACAAAAAAGAGATGGCGGGAATAATGGTCGTAAAAAGGGGGAAAATCACATATGCCGTGCCCATAAATATTATATTAGGCTAAAAAAGTGGGAAAGCTGTATGGAATTTAAAGTTAATTTACGCGAAGAATCTCGTCCGTCAGCATCCACCTCCAATCAAACTCGAGCATTTTGCACAATATCACGGAGTGAGCCTTCTTCCTAAGAACTCTTAATTGCAAAAACATGCAAAAACGCAAAAGCATATGCAAAAATATAAGTCAATTCATGATAACTAACCCCCAAAGAAAATTTCGCAGGTCACTAATGGTTCCGTAGCTAAAAATGCAGAGATAAAGCTATGTGCGTTTGCAGCGGAGCATAATATTGCTTTTGATCACTTATTAGTGCTGTTGAAAACGGTGTTCAGTGACTCACAAATTGCATCACAATTGCACACGAATGATTTGTACAAATATCGCATAAGTACCCTGTAGGGAAAACACGAACTAGTGAACCAGATTTCTAGTTCAGTACTAGTTCTTTTTTGCCAAAAACGAATCAGTCCGATAGTAACTAGTTCCGCACCAGTCCAAAAGCAGTGAAATGTGGTACTTTCACTAAACTATTCTATTTTAAATTTTAAAAGCAGGGAAGGTAATCATTATGAGTAAAATAATTTAAATCAGCATTTAATCATTATTTTATGAATTATTATTGAGTTTTATTTTTTCGCTCAAACGGAAATAATTATTATTTGATTTTTATTTTTGGGATTACAAATAATGATTATTTTGTGATTTTTATTTTTTCGCGCAGAGATTATGATTAA